CCCTTGCGCACCAAGGGTGAGGTCCCTGATGTTCTGATCCCTTGGATCCGCACAGTTCGTCTCCAGCTCCGCCGCCGTTTTCGGACGGATCTTCCTGTCCTGCGTCTGCACTCTGACAGAGGTGGTGAGTTTTCCTCCGATCTCTTGAGGACCTTCTGTCAGGCGGAGGGCATCGAGCAGACCTTCACGCTTCCGGACTCCCCACAGCAGAATGGGGTTGCTGAGCGCCGCATTGGCCTGGTCATGGAGGTCGCTCGTACCTCCTTGGTCCACGCGGCGGCTCCCCATTTTCTGTGGCCGTTTGCTGTCCGGTACGCCGCGCATCAGCTCAACCTCTGGCCCCGTGTCTCCTTGCCGGAGACCTCGCCCACACTGCGTTGGACGGGGGAGGTTGGCGATGCGTCGCGCTTCCGGGTGTGGGGTGCTCGTGCCCTTGTCCGCGATACGTCCGCGGACAAGCTCTCCTCCCGCACACTTCCCTGTGTCTTCCTTGGCTTTGTCCCTGACGTGCCTGGCTGGCAGTTTTACCACCCCACCTCGCGCCGGGTCTTCGCCTCTCAGGACGTCACCTTTGACGAGTCGGTCCCTTTTTACCGTCTCTTCCCCTACCGCACTGCCCCCCTCCCTCCCCCGCCGCTGTTCCTTGCTCCTGGTCCCCCTCCGGTAGACCCCCTCCCCCCTCAGGGTCCTGCTCCTTCAGGTGTCTCTCAGGTAGACCCTCCTCCCGTCGCTGAGCCTGTCGAGGTCACTGGTGACTCAGGTGCTGCTGCAGGTGGTGCTGCTGGGAGTGCTGAGTCTGGGGGTGCTGAGCCTGCGGGTGCTGGGCCTGGGAGTGCTGGGACTGCGGGTGCTGGGGCTGAGGGTACTGTGCCTGAGAGTTCGGCGCCTGGGGGTGCTGTGCCTGGGGGTGCTGCGACTGGGAGTGCTGAGCCTGCGGGTACTGAGCCTGGGGGTGCTGCTACTGAGCCTACGGAGCCTCGGGTTGCTGCGTCTGGGGGTGCTCCGGTTCGGGGTGCTGAGCAGTCTCTCACACCGCAGCAGCTTCGTGACTGGTACGTCCGGCGCTTTCGCCGTCCTCGTGGCTCGGCTGGAGTTGGGGGTGCTGGAGCTGCTCGTCCTGGGGGTGCTCGTACTGGGGGTACTGGAGCTGCCGGGACTGGTTGTTCTGGGAGCACTACGACTGGAGCTGCTGGAGCTGGGGACTCTGGAGCTGGCGGTGCTAGCGGAGTTGGAGCTGCCGACTCTGGGGGTGGCGCTGCTGCTGGTGCTGCGGACCCACCTGGTGGAGCTGCTGCTGGTGCTGAGGACTCGGACGTTGGAGCTGCTGCTGGAGCTGAGGACCCGAGCGGTGGCGCTGCTGCTGGTGCTGGGGACCCGGACGTTGGAGCTCCTGCTGGTACTGAGGACCCGGCCGCTGGAGTCTCTTCTGCTTCTGGAGACGCTGCGCGGCCGCGACCGTACTTCGTACCGCTCCTTCAGCAGGTTCTTGGTCAGGCTCCTCCTCCTTGTCCTCCTCCCTCCGTAGAGTGTCCTCCGCCTGTCCAGCCGCAGTCACAGTTACCGCCTGCCTCGCCTCTCCCTGCTCCCTCTCCTTACACTGGTCCCACGGGAGGTCTTACAGAGCGTCGTGAGCCTGAGTCTCGTCCTGCGTCGCCTGTTCGTCCTGCTCGCACTGGCAGTCGTGTCCGTCGTGAGCGTCCTCCTCCTGTCCCAGGCACTCACTACATGACTCTGCGTCCCTCTACTGCTCCTCAGCGTGTCCCTCTACCGTCTCCTCCTGCGTCCTCTTTGCCTGCCGTTCCGGACCCTGAGTCTGACCGGTATCGCGCTGAGCACCCTACTGTCACGCGTCTCCTAGCTACTGTTGTCACTGACCCTACCTTTGAGTCCTCGGCTGCGTCTGCTCTGGTCGCTGAGTTGGTTGACTTTGCTGCTGCCTGTCGTCTAGACTACGCTGCTAGCCTTGTTGCTGAGTCAGAGTCTGCGTCTGTCTGTCCTCCGTCCGTCGGAGGTGAGTGTGCTCTTGGCACGGACGTCCTTGAGGACAGGCAGGAGGACTTTGACTCTCTTGCGGCTGCTGTACCTCATCTCGTGGCCTGGTTACTTGCCCCTGAGGGAGACCCGGATGCACTAGACATCCCCACTCTGCGCACTTACGCAGAGGCGATCTCGGGTCCCTACTCCTCTCAGTGGCAGACAGCCATGGACGCAGAGATGGCATCCTGGAAGTCCACAGGCACCTACGTCGACGAGGTTCCCCCTCCTGGGGCGAACATCGTCGATGGCATGTGGATTTTCAGGGTGAAGCGGCCGCCAGGTTCTCCGCCTGTCTTCAAGGCTCGTTACGTTGCTAGAGGCTTCAGTCAGCGTCAGGGGGTCGACTTCTTCCAGACCTTCTCCCCCACCCCGAAGATGACCACTCTTCGGGTTCTGCTGCACGTTGCTGCTCAGCGTGACTACGAGCTTCACTCTCTTGACTTCAGCACAGCGTTCCTGCAGGGCAGCCTGCACGAGGAGATCTGGCTGCGCCGCCCACCTGGCTTTACTGGGTCGTTTCCCCCTGGTACCCAGTGGAGCCTCCGCCGGCCAGTCTACGGTCTCCGCCAGGCGCCACGTGAGTGGCACGACACACTGAGGACTACACTTGCGGCTCTTGGGTTCGCGCCGTCTACTGCTGACCCGTCGCTGTTTCTGCGCACAGACACGTCGCTGCCGCCGTTCTACATTCTCGTGTACGTCGACGACTTGGTCTTTGCTACTGCTGACACTGAGGCACTCGCTCGTGTGAAGTCGGAGCTGCAGAAGAGACACACCTGCACTGACCTGGGTGAACTGCGTAGCTACCTTGGCTTGCAGATCACCCGGGACAGAGCTCGCCGCACCATCACCCTGACTCAGTCACACATGGTGCAGCAGGTCCTTCAGCTCTTCGGCTTCCAGTTCTCCTCACCACAGGCCACACCTCTGGCTACCAGCCACTCGCTCTCAGCTCCACCTTCGGACGAGTCCGTAGAGCCGAGTGGCCCGTACCCAGAGCTTGTAGGCTGCCTCATGTACCTGATGACTTGCACGCGACCTGACCTCGCGTACCCTCTTAGCATCCTTGCTCGTTACGTTGCGCCTGGGAGACACAGGCGAGAGCACTGGGAGGCTGCTAAGAGGGTGCTGCGTTACTTGTGCAGTACATCAGGCATGGGGCTGGTGCTTGGAGGACGCGACAGAGTTGTCCTCACTGGTCACTCGGACGCTTCTTGGGTGGACGACCTGGCTACGCAGCGGTCGTCACAGGGTTACACCTTCAGCCTTGGCTCTGGTTCTGTCTCGTGGCGGTCCACCCGCTCTTCCTCTGTTCTCGGCTCTAGTTGTGAGGCTGAGATCTACGCCACAGCCATGGCTGCACAGGAGTTACGCTGGCTCACCTACCTGCTGACTGACTTGGGAGAGCGGCCTAGTTCTCCTCCAGTTCTGTACGGTGACAACAAGGCGGCTCTTGCCTTGTGTCAGGAGCACAGACTGGAGCACAGGACGAAGCACATTGCTCTTCGCTACTTTCTTGCTCGAGAGCTTCAGCAGCGCGGTCAGCTTCGGCTTGTGTACGTGGACTCGAAGGCCAACACTGCTGATATCTTCACCAAGGCGCTCCCGCCTAGTGATCATCAGCGGCACTGTACTTCTTTAGGCCTTGTGTCCACGTTTCCTCACTTGCTCACTGCTTGACATTCTTTGTACTGTACTTTATATATATCTTGTTGCTTGCTTGCTAGGTTTTGATCACTGTGTTGCTTGTCTTGTACTATATCTAGCACTGCATGTGAACTGGCCTTGTGGCCTTTGCTTGTGCTCGGAGTGTGGTGACGTTGTGATCCACCCTGGGCTTGCGTTGCTTTGCTGGACTGGTCTTGTGACCCTTTGTTCTCCCCCACTTTGCCTATGGGGGTGTGTTAAAGTGTAATGTGTTATATGTTGGTAGGCTGTAGTGGGGTAGCCAATATGGGGTACAACCCCAACTAGGGTTTGCTACTTGTACCCAACTGTTCCATTCAATGCATTCATTCTTGCCTAGTTATTCTGAAAGTCTATACTATTCAACACTGTCTACTATCCGGGCGATGACGGTAGAACACCCGAAAACAAAGAAATTTCACTAGCACAAGGTGATTTCGAAAACGAGTGTTGCATGATACCGTAAGCCCCTGGATTGAAGCACAGGCTTCGGATAAGCGCCGGCGCTTATAAAAGGATGAGGGCGCTTGTATCTGGTACTCGATTATAAGCCCACCCCCTATAAAAAGATGATATATTATAAGCGCATGTTGGTTTTTTATTTAAATACCCGTCAAAACGCAGAAACGAGTTACACATTATCAGGGAAACGAACTACAAGTTAGATTCCCCACACTCGGATCTCACTTTTTGCGCATCTAGTCAGCATTTGCTGCCATTCTGTCAGTATGAGCTGGCAGGGAATCACTCCCTGCCAAGCCGCGCGAGAATCAAATTTGCGACCCTATATGTTTTCGACTCGACTACAGTACAATCGACAGAACGAGATCTACACTTCGGTGTAAAACAAATACAAATCCTTTTTGCCATTATATAAGCGCCAGCGCTTAAAAAATTCCTCAAGCGCACCCCCTAAAAAACAGTGTTTTTTTATACCCCCAGGGGCGCTTCTATCCGGGGGCTGACGGTACTCTACCGATCTTTACCAAAACATGCCCAATAGTCGTCACACTGAAATTTTGTTCATTTGAGTAATAAAAATTCCTCAAGTTTCCCTTCATGGAGTGTGAAAATGCGTTAGCTGAACAAAAAGTAACCCAGTGGGCAAAATTTATACATACAAATATGCTTCACCTAATACGTTCCACATCCAATGGCCAGTTAAATGGTACCCATTAGAAAGCTTTGCACTACTGCAGCCGATAGTGTTGAGAGACACTAGCATGTCAGGATAATCTGGAAGTAGCGTGTCTAATGTTCAAGGTTGAACGGAGAAGTCAGCGGGAAAGAGGTTGAACAGCCAAGACTGAACGCACCGTGTGTACTCCATCAGTCCATACAAGGCTGCCGAACTTGAAGTGATTGCTCGGCCTCCGCACCAAAAACGTGACAGTATACTTGCTGTATTGGCCAGGGGCGACGGTTAACTCTGCAGGGCTTACGATGACTTGTACCCCTTTTGGACGCACCACAGTTGCCTTGTAAGTTGCTGTCACTGAGCCCACGTTCTTAACAACACGTGTGACAACAGCTTGCTTCTGCAGCCTGCTCACAGCAATGTTTGGGAGGTTGACATTGTACGAAGGAATGGCCGTGCGCAGGCGTGCAGGCAGGGAGGTGTAGGCGGTGGTCTGCTTGGTTTCCCAGGGGTCCACAGCCATGAGGAACTGCACCATCTGCACCATGTTGCTGTCGTACACCAGCCCTGCACAACATGCCACAACGCTGCTCAATGCCTCGTTCAGAGGGGTACAGCATGTACTGGTGTGCTGCAAAACTTATGAGTACTGATGCGTAATGATGGGACGTAATGCCCGTCATCACCCCTCGTGCACCGTCCACGCACCTGGATCCAAGGCACGAGCAGGGAAGACGTGTCCGGACCCCATGGCATGGCCGTTGGCCACACAGCCGTCGTCATTGGCGATGGGCGCACTGGCGCTGTTGACAGTGTACGCCGTGGTCTGCAGCGCTGACTTGATGGCAAACGGGCTCCACTCGGGGTGCTGCTGCTTCATGAGCGCTGCAATGCCCGCCACGTGTGGCGTGGACATGGACGTGCCGCTCACCATCTGCGCCGTCACTGCACCCGGCCGCACACTCAACGCTGCCATGGGAAAGAAATGCAAGGCCAGTGAGCAGCCTAGGCTAGAAATCGTGCTATCTTGACGGCAGCGGGAGGCAAGGGGCGTGCAGGCAAGGGGCGTGCAAGCAAGGGGCGTGCAGGCAAGGGGCGTGCAGGCAAGGGGCGTGCAGGCAAGGGGCGTGCAGGCAAGGGTTGGCGCGCTCACCGTCTGTGACGCCCATGTCGGTGACCTGGAAGGGCGACTGCGTCCACCCCGCCCAGATCTCCACGCCCGGCGCCGTGAGGTCAGGCTTGACGACGTCGTTGAGGTTGGTGCCCATGGCGGGCGCGTCGAACGTCTGGTAGGGGTCCGTGCTGGGACCCGTGGACGAGAACCACGCCATGGTGGGCGACGGCGAGTGCGCTATGAACAGTGGCGACAGTGACGCCACCGGGCTGCGAGAGGAGCGTGGGGTCCGTGGGCACACAGATGCACGCGCTGAGGTGCTACGACTAGTCTAGCAAAGGTGACGAATTGGAAGGCAGAGCTGGCAGTGTTGTGTGTAAGGATGTGAGGTTGAGGTGGGCACAGTGTGTTGCACATGCAGCCCCTTCAGCACTTTCCCAAGTGCATACCACAGTTCTGTGCTGCGGGAGCCGATGCTTGCAACTAGTGCACGACTCTATTTAACACCCTCCCAAGCGGCATGCACTCCCTGCATCACAACCCCACCCGCTTACCTTGCCGTGGCCTTCACGAGCGCGATGAGCTTGGTCCGCGCGTCCGCGTCCACGTGCGAGGCGGGCAGGTCGTGCAGCATGGCGGCCGTGCTGTCGCCCGGGTCCTGGTTCGCGATCACCACGCCCACGGCGCCCGCCGCCTTGGCGGCGCGGCTGATGTTGAAGGTGCGCGCGGAGTGCGAGCCCTGCGTGCTGGGGCGCGTGCACACCACGATCTTGCCGCGTACCTTGGCGGGGTCCAGCGAGCCCCGCTCGCAGAAGTTGGCCTGGCGGTGGCAGTGAGGGGAGAGCAGGAGCATGTGTGAGAGGCAGCGCAAGACAAGAAGAAACTAGGTGGCACTGTGAACATGGTATCCTGCGCATCACATGTGCTTGAGGGGGAGATAAGGGATCGCAATTCACTTGTGCTGGCAGCACGTGAACCTGTCTTGAACCATTGCGCACCTCTCCTAAGGCGTGCCTTTCCTGCCATTCTTCACTCACTCGCAGTCCCGACTGCATCGCATGGCCAGCACGGTATGGCAGGCCGTGCGTGGGGCTCACCGCATTGCGGGACGCGCCCGGTCTGTTGGCGTCCGACCCCAGCACGATGCCCGCTCTCAGCGCCGTGCCCTTGCCGCCCACCAGCGACCGCCCCACGAACGTGCTGCCGCCGATGGTCACGGCCGTGCTGTAGTTGCGCCCGTGCGAGCTGGCGGCAGGCGAGCGCGTGGAACGGGTAGGACGGAGGTTGGCGCAGGGAGGGGAGCAAGGGACGAGGGGGTTTGAATGACACGTGGGTTAGGGAATAAGCGGGCTTGAGAAGGAGTAGAAACAGCAGTATGCAATGCAAGGGTACGGGGCGGCGGGCTGACCTGGCGGCGACGGTGGTGTACCAGGGCGCGGGGTGGTCCAGCGTGCACGTGAAGTACTGCTTCTCGATGGCCGCCCCGCTGTTGCCCGCCGGCACCGACACGAACACACCGGCCTGTCACGCGCAGCACAGGGGCGGCAGTTACGGGTTACGAGGGGGCGGGGCTAGTGACAGGCACGCGAGCCCGTGGTGAGCAGCACAACACACAGAAGCGGCACATGCGCGGGCGTGGGAGGCGTGGCAGGAGTCACCTGCGCGGCGTGCAGGAAGGCGAGCTGATCGACGTCGAAGAGCGACGCCTGGCCGCCCAGCGACATGGTCAGCACGTCCACGCCGTCCGCCACCGCCGCCTCGATCGCCGCCACGATGTCCGCCTCCGCGCTCACCGCACCGCCGTCTTTCAACGTCCATAGCGTCTGATGGGAGTGGAGGGGATAACGGGGACTGAGCGACAGCGAACGCACTAGCCACTTGCCTTTTCCTGTGTCACGTGGCTTCCCTCCCTCATCCCTCAACAACCCTCCACCGGTCGCCTCCCAGTGGCGCACCTTGTACACGGCGATCCTCGCTCTGGGCGCCATGCCGCTCTCTGATCCGAACCGCACGCCTCGCAGCACCGCTGCGCGCCCGTCGTTGCCGGCGGCTGTGCTGGCCGTGTGCGTGCCGTGGCCGTGCACGTCGCGCGCCGACGGGTACTCGACACTCCAGTCGACATCGTCCTGCATGCTCTTGAAGAACGCCTTGGCGCCGATCAGCTTGCGGCTGCACGCGCTGCTCGGCCAGTCCTTGGTGACCGTGCACGACCCGCGCCACCGCCGTGGGATGCGCCCGTAATGCGGAAGGACTTTTCCGGTGAAGGCGGGGTTTTCCGGCCACACGCCCGTGTCGATAACGCCTATGATAACATTCTCCCCGCGCAGGCCAGTGTCTACTCGCTTCCCACCCCGCTTTCTGCCAGCCCGCACCCCATACGATCGCGCATCTCTGTCGGCACTTCCCGTACCGCTAGATGTGCCCCTGGGGGATGTGCTGCCGTTTAGCCGCTGCCCCAACTCCGTGCCCACTGTTTCCAATCCCACCAACCGCTCAGCACTGCCCGCTTCTTGCGATGGTTCCGTGCTCGCAGTGCGCGCTCCTTGTGCGTCGCGCGCTGACCCCCTGGCACTTCTCGCCGCGAGCCATTGCAGTGCGCCAGGTGTGGATGCAGGGATAGGCCGACGGTCCCATACCCCGTCCCTCAAGCCAAGAAACGATGGAGTGAACGTGGTACGCGCGTGAAGGAATTTCGACTCCATGAGCGAGCCCACGGCTGGGTGCCGCTTCAGTAACGCCGCTTGCCGCAGGGTTAGACGGACGGCGACGCCATTGGTGACGTATCTGAAGCTGTAGAGCTTGTGCGTGCGGGGCTGCACGCCGGCCTCGGCGAGCACCGTGTCGTGCATGCGGTCCAGGTGCTGCGCGTACGCCCGCACGTTCTCTGCCCCCGAATCCAGCCGTCCTGCTGGAGCCCCTCCATCGTCACTCACGTCCGCCTTGCCCGTCAGGCCAGTTGACCTCGCCGTAACATCGTCTGCAAGATCTTCCGGGGTAGCGGCTGTTGCGGCGGAGTAGCCGTTGCGCGGAGCCGTGGAGGGGAAGCCCACGAGGGAGCCCGTGTACGCGACTACAGGGGGGAGCGCGCGAAAGCGGATGATGTACACTGCAAGGTCGGAGGAGGGTAGAGGAGCGGATAATGGGAAAACAGACGAGGCACAGAGTTCCGATTTTTTATATAAAACGCAGCTCAGAATAGATGTGCAGTGTAAAGATGAGAGGGTGAATAAAAACAATTGAGCCTCTGGCTCTCGTCAATGTCTCACGTTTTGTTGGAAAATTCTTGTCACTGCTGGCGCCGTTCCCGCCACCATTAGCTCGCAATTGCCTTCCAATTCGAGACGAGCCATCCACAATTGCATCGATGCTTCTGAGCGACTGAGTGATGAGCAGGAGGAAAAGCCAAAGGATAGGTCTTCCTTGATGCCTTAAGGTGCATCCCATGATGGGTGTCGGGGTCATGCCAATCCTAATTACATGCATATGTCTCCTTGAACGTTGGGCTTGCTCGAGCTGACTACAAAGCAGACATGGCGTAATTCGCCCGCGGAGTTGGTGGATTCGAGAAAAAATATATATATGAATATCTATTTCCAAGGCAGAACGCCGAAAGTTATGTACACCAAGGGACAAGGTTGCTGTGTCGAGCCTTGTGTGTGCTGTGAATGCATTCACAGCTGTGCTGTTTATGTCGCAATCGCAATGGAGACGAGTTGAAGGTCTGCATTCGTTTCAACTCGTCGTTCATAAGCATACTCAGCTCGCCTTGGTCGGTAGGCCAAGGGTGGGCACGAAGCGGCAGGGCTGACGCAAATCCAGGTTAGGAGGCGCACCTGCTGGACAACTGTTGGATGCGATGCCCGTCTGCTGGGGGCTGCCCATCGAGCGTCTTGAATTCGCCCCTGCAATCTGTTTAGTGTCGTCTCGCGCAGGGGCGAGGCTGGGCTGGCTGCCGACCGAGACGCACACAAATCCCAGGCTCCCAGCCCAGGGTTGCAATTGGAGCGAGGAGAGCTGTGTGACACAATGGGAGGAACTCGATCCAATGTGCAACGAAGGCTCCTATAAGGATAGAATGTTATAGGTTTGGCTGTGGTCAATGTCACTGTATGCGGAAGCGCAAAACTAAGGCACAAGAGAATGCCGACGAACCGCCCTCGATTCCAGGGCGGGGCCTTGAAATTGAAGGCAAAGAACGTGAAATGGTACACCGAGAATAGAAAAGAGAAAATAACTTCTAAAGAAAGGACAAGGTAATGAAAATGTTGGAACCAAAATGACAACACTCAAGTTTTTACCAGATTGATTCATTGAGTGTGAATATTGTATCACCCCAGATAGAAGCGAATGTATAACTTTTGCATGATTTTGAGAATAGAGCACTACATCAGTTGTGTAATGAAATAATGCATAGAAACGACGAGAACACAGACAGACGATGGAGATGTTGTAAGGTCAGTTCCAAGAGGGAAAACAACACGTAAGACTGTAGGGCGAGCAGCATGGAGGGAGTTAGACACAGAGGAGAAGAGAAAATAAGGGACGACGATGGGGGTAATGAGAAAGTAGGAGGTGACATAACAAAACTTCGGCAAAAACGGAGGATCATAGAATGGATACTGGGAACGGGAGACGCACAACGAGTACGAGGGGAATGATGGACCCAGGGGCTGGAACCAGGGGTTGAGACAGGAGACAATGGAGGGGACAACTGTGAATGACGAGGAGACTGAGCTGGAAACGAGTCCGAGGGAGGAAACTGTTGAAGTATATTTCTTATATAAACTGCTTGTAGCAGTAGTTAGTGCAGTATTACATTGGTGGTGCACCTCATTCCCTTGTCCCTTGCACTATATCTTGTACCTTTGCTCATTAGTGAATCACCTTTCTCCCTTGATTTCCTCTCGACAAGAACCTAGGCTAGGGTTTCTCCTAAGCCTAGGTAAGTCTACTATTTCTGACATGCTATCAGAGTACATCGATCCTGGGCCTATTGATAGCTTCCGCTAATGCGCCACTCTTCCGCCCGTCTCGCGCCCCAGCGTGCGACGGTTTCCTGCCCGTCGCGCGCCTCGGGACGCGCGACGGTTTCTGCCCTGCCGCGCGCGGCTCGTACGACCCGCGCAAGGCCCGCGCGCGGCTCGTACCGCCTGCGCCAGGCCCTCACGCACCTGCCCTGCCGCGCGCGCACCTGCACTGCCTCTGCTGTCGCCCGCGCAGCTTCTTCCCCGGCCCCCCCTCCTCCCTCTCCCTGCTCCGCGTGCAGCCGTAGGGGGGAGGGTATGGGGGTGGCGGGTATGGGAGTGGGGGGTGTGAGTAATATGCTACTGCTCCTCCTCCTCCTCTCTCTCCCACTGCTGCAGCTGCCGCTGAGGGGGGGAGGGTGTGGGGGAGTCGAGGGAGTGGTGCTAGGGATGCAGAAGGGGGTGTGGAAACGGGGTGTGGGACAATGGGGGGAGGTCGCCATGAAGCCAGCAGCTCCTGTAGCCCGGATGCCCTTGCTCCGGTAGCCCGTGAGCCCGTTGCTCCAGTCGCCCGTGGGTCAGTTGCTCCAGCCGCTCGTCTAGCCGCGGAGCCAGTTACTCCAGTAGTCCGGATGCCCTTGCTCCGGTAGCCTGTGTGCCAGTTGCTCCAGTCGCCCGTGCGCCTGCAGCTTCAGCTGCCCCCTCCTACCTCCTCTCCTCTCATAGTCCCTCCTCCTCCTCACTTGCCCTCTCCTGCGCTTGGTGTACCCCTTCAGGGGGTGTCTCTGCATTAGCTTCCTGCTGAAAGCAGTTTAGGGCGTGTGCACTAGTGCTCGCAATTGTGAAAATCGAACTCTGGAATCCAACTGCCGTCGCTGTTGATATTCGAACACCCGTTGTTCGAACTCGTGGCTTCTGGCGCAAAGTCTTGAAAAAATTGCTTGGCCACTCTAAAGTAACACACTAAAGGTTCGGACAAAGTGTCGCGTGCGTGAATTTTGTACAGTGCCGAAGTCGTCGTGCGAAATTTGATTGGTTCAAATCTGACACGTCAGCATGTTTTGAGCGTCGCAACGCCGCATAGTTGGAGCTTAAACCGCGCTCCGGAGTGCTGTTCAAATGAGGCTTCGAATTCAGGATTCGAACACGTCAAAGTCGAAAGTGTTAACTTATTCACAAAGTCCTTGCGAAGGATATTTGCGAGATTTACGAAATCAGGTTACCACCTAAAATCGAACTTTTTTGAACGCTAATGCACACGCCCTTAGGGGGTGTGTTGAAATATATTTCTTATATAAACTGCTTGTAGCAGTAGTTAGTGTAGTGTTACATTGGTGGTGCACCTCATTCCCTTGTCCCTTGCACTATATCTTGTATCTTGCTCATTAGTGAATCACCCTTCTCCCTTACTTTCCTCTCGACAAGAACCTAGGCTAGGGTTTCTCCTAAGCCTAGGTAAGTCTACTATTTCTGATAGAAACGTGGGACTGTAGACTCGGAGAGTCGGCGAGAAGGAGGAAAGGAAGGAGGATGAATAGTCGACAGATAAGGAAGACCAAGAAGACAAAGCGCAGTCACAAGCGACGACGAATGCTACTACGACTACTGCAGCTGCTACTGCTGCGTCACTGCCACGCCCCTAAGTCCAACACCTTCTCTGGCAGCATCCCGTAAGTCAGCACCCCAAGCGTCTGCACCCCTAGAACTAGCACCTTCTGCTGCAGCACCCTTAGAGTCCACAACGGTCGCTTGCAGCTGCAACGAAGGCTGCTGCGACGATTTCAAGGACGACGTGGACAACGGTAGGTGTGAGGATCTAGGATCGAGCTCAGAAAATAGATTTTGAATTGAATGATCACCTGGGTACAACACGAGGCTATATATAGGCTCGACACAAGGGGCAGTAACCAGGTGTTACGCGAAGGTTCTGCGGGTCGCGAAGCGTCCCTGACAGACCCTTCCCGAATTCGGTAGAAAGCATTTCGGTGGCAACCGAATAGCTCCGAATTCGGTGTAACCTAGCATGGTGCCTATAACTATAGTAAAATACAGGAAAGCACCCTGCCTAGGAATCAAGCAATTCATGCATGCAGAAAATAATCCTAAGCTAGAAATAGCGTAAGGAATAATATCAAGCATGAATAACAAGCATAAGCCGTCGTACTCTCACACGCCCCCCCCTCAAAGCTGGGTGGCGTGAGATACACCCTGCTTGACAAGATAGTCCTTGAGAGCACGGCGTGCATTGCCCATATCAGCTTCTGCAACCCAACTGTCCTCAGTGGGGTCATATCCCTTCCAGCGTATCAAGAACTCGAGGGTCTTGCCGCCGCGGCGTCGATGAGTGAGAACGCGCTCGATCTCGTACTCTCTCTAGTTCCTCCTGTACGAGTACAGGTGGAGGTGGCGGTAGCTGCCGTCCCTGGAACTGTTGGTTGGGGTCCTTGTAGGGCTTCAGTAGCTGAACATGGAAAGCGTTGTGAAGCTTCCACGTATCTGGTAAGCGCAAGCGGAATGTAACTGGTGTCACCTGTGCCTCTACGAGAAAAGGACCACAGAAGCGAGGCCGGAGCTTGGATGGTAGGTGAGACAGGTTCAAGTTGCGCGTGTCAAGAAGCACCTGATCTCCAACTGCTACTGAGTGATCTCGTCGTTGGCGATCGGCATACTGCTTCTGGGAGTTCTGCATCGTGGTGAGACGCCGCTGAGTCTTCTCCCATAGCTGCTGCATGGTGGTGACGAAGTCGTGTGCGGCTTGGACGTGTGCCGGTGTGGTTGGCTGCTGTGGTGTGAGTGGTTCCCGTCCGTAACACAGGAAGAAAGGTGTTTTCCCTGTGGCCGCATGCGAGGCGTTGTTGTAAGCGAACTCTAAGGTCGGTAACTGTGTATCCCAGTGGCTGATGTCATCTTTGCAAGCTGTGCGCAGTAACTGTTCAACCACCTGATTGAGTCGCTCTGTCTGTCCGTCAGTCTGGGGATGGTATGCTGAAGACATCGCAAGCTTAGTCCCCAACAGTCCCATAAGCTCCTTCCAAACCTTACTCGTGAATTTTGGGTCTCTGTCTGAGATGAGTGTAGCAGGGATGCCGTGGATGGTGATGATGCGGTCGAAGAAGAGTCGAGCAGTTGCTTCAGCAGTAGCTGTGGCGTTGGTCGGTATGAAGTGACCCATTTTGGAGAACTTATCGATTACTACGAGGATGGAATCGTGTCCCCGTGAGGTCGAGGGAAGTCCTGTGATGAAGTCGAGACTAACGACCTGCCATGGCTGCTCCGGTACGGGTAGAGGCTGAAGTAACCCTGCTTTCTTCTGCTTGCTACTCTTCATCCGCTGGCACGTGTCGCAGGAGGTGACGAACTGCTGCACGTCTGCTGCCATCCGAGGCCAGTAGTAATATTTTGCTATGCCCGCTAACGTCTTGTTACTCCCGAAATGTCCCGCGTATGGTACGTCGTGAAACTCCTCTAACAGGATCTGCCGTAGCGGGGCGTAATTCG